GGAGGTCATACAGGTACCACACACACTCACATGCACACACTCACATGCACACTCACACACACACGCACATGCACACACACACTCAAATGCACACTCACACGCACATGCACACACACACTCACATGCGCACACTCACACACACACACAGGTGGAGGTGGACAGTGACTTCTTTCCCGTTCTGCCTGAGACGAGGTGTAAACCAGAGAACTTTCCCGACACGGGAAGGTAGTCTCTCTCTGGGACTACGGTGTCCTCTGGCTAGAAGTCTCTTCTGCTGGGACACGTGTCTCACAGGGGACAGCTGCTCATGAACCTGGACAACAACAGCAGGGAGCTCAGCAAGTTCAGTCAACATCCACTGAAGACAGTTTAACTGTGGGAAAGAGGCGTGTCCCAAGAAGACCGGGTCTTCTAAGGACCAGAACCTGCAGGGAACTGAGGAGAGCCCGAGGACAAGGAGGACAGGCAGGAGGCACTAGAGGGGAAAGGTGGGGTCCAGGGGGTGGAGGAAGAGGGGGCAGGTGTGGTCCGATTGGATACTGACTCCGCCGATCCAGCTCTGTATTTTTTGTTTGTGCTCATTGGCTCACTGACCGTGTGGACCGTGTGGACCGCGTGGACCGCGTGCAGTAACGATGCGTCATGAAGACAAACATGTTGCGTGAAGACACTGAAGAGACGGCGGCTTGTTTGTGTTGTGTTGTGTTTGTGTACATGTGTGTTGTGGTAACACGGTACCGTTGTACTGGCTCGCCAGTCGGTCCTGTCCTGTCTCTTAGACCTGTTGGTGGTCTTGGAGAAGCCCCCCTCGTCGCTTGGCCCCTCCACCTCTCGTAGGATGTCCCGTTGCCATGACGACGTGCTGCGGCTGGTCCTGACGAACATGGAGGCGGAGCAAAAGGTGGCGCTGCGTCGCGTCTACGCCTCCGCTCTGCCTCTGTACGTCGACAGGTAGGTGCGTTTGATTCTCACATCACATTTTGATTCTGCAGCAGCGTCTCAGAGTGTGTTTGTTTCGTGTACCGAGGCAGGATGGGCGTGGCCGTGTGTAGACACCTACGGCAGGTGGAGCGGGTGGTGCTGGGATACCTGGAGGTCAGAGATCCACCAGAGGAGACGAGTCGGCTGAAGATCCTGGAAGTTCTTCAGATAACAACCAGAGCGGCGTGGCCACGGTGGGGGGGGCTGATGCTCCTGCAGGAACATATTAAATCACGTTGTGCTGAAAATGAACGTTCACTGTCCCCCCGTCTGTCCCTCAGGGTGGCGTGCCGCGTTGCGCCGTTGCTGCGTTGCCTGATGAAGTTGCTGGTTGCCGTGGATTCAGACGGCGAGCTCCGCCTCTCAGTGAGACAGCGGCTGATGGATCAGGCGTCTGTCTGCCTCCAGCTGCTGGACGCCTGTTGTCACGGAGACGTGCAGGTGTGTTTACCTGCCGACGCGCTCACCTGGACGCTGAGTGCTCCGTGAAGACGCTCACCCGTCTGCCTGTCTGTCTCCCAGCGTCTTCTCCAACAGGTTGACAGCAGCTGCTGCAGTTCTGAGGTGCTCCGTTGCCTAGCAACTGTGATCGCCACGCCGGAGAGGTGATGCAGACGGCCCGGACCACCTGCCAATCAGGAGCTGGCGCTGTCACGCTGTGTATTATGGGCTGTTGAAGATTAAATGTCTTCATGTTGTTACCGTGACAACCGAGTTGTTTCCATTATATCGTACAAAGAAATGAGCTGTTTGTATTCAGCACCTGTAACAACAATAATTAATTAATTGATCGATCAGCTGTTTTTTTTATTGATCAATAAAAATGCTTCTCACCAATTATGACTGTAAATGAACTGATTAGAATAATTGATCTGTTTCACAGAGAGAACGTGATGTGAAATCAGTTTGATTATCGATCAGCAAATATTGATTGTAAAGGTTTAAACGACAAGTCTTGTTTTAAAAATCTGTCATTCATCAGTGAAACCGATTCCCTTCAAAGATAACTATCATTTACATGTTTTCATGAAGGCACCATGAGCTGCAGCTGGGTTTTCTCCACATGTTGTCAAAGACACTGAGGGATCCACTTCCTGTCCAAATAACTATAAACAAATAACAAACACAGGAGACATTCAGTGACGAGGCGTTTGAAGACAGTCAGTAGAAGTGCACGTCCATTTAACTTCACCACCGCTTCTTTATTCTGAAGGATGAGTTGGACTTCTCATAGTGACGATCCAGAGCTTTTGATCGAGTCCCTCTGATCTCGATTCAATCACTTCCCTTTAAGGTCGTTACAAACCTTCATATTATGTATTTGTACGGCTCTCAGAAAGAAAATGAAAAACCTCCAGGAAAAAAGCACTATGGGGGCTGTCCCATGAAGACATGAAGGAGCTGTGCTCTCTGTGATCGCCCAGTGCGGGGACAGTATGTGTGACGTACACATGGATAGTACCCGTGGACATTATGGGGGTACCGTATATATGTGTGGACAGTACGCGGGGACATTGTGTGGGGACTGTAAGCGGGGACAGATTTATTATGCTTTCTACACATTTGTATGGAAATAGCATTAAAAAGCATTTCCACACTGGAGAGTCCTAAAGTAAAATGTAGCAGTATTACCAATACGAGTTCTGTATGTATATTTATTTGCATATTAATACATCAATACTTGATAACACAATTATTAAAGAGAGAATCAGATCCATATTGTGTCTTCTCTCTGTATTAAAAGACTTATGAAGAGTCGGGGCAGCTGTCAATCAGAAGGTTCAGAGCAAACTCCTCCAGCTGGGAAATGTCCTGACACTCAGAAGAACTACAGCCGGACGGCCACAGCTCCACCAAGGCCTCCGAGTCCAGAGGAAGACGGTACCTGCAGGAGGAGAACAGAGATGAGATGATTTTATTGTCATTATACAACTAAATATCGTTTTGGTAGAAACAGACTGGATAAAAACTAGGGATGTGTTTGAGACACTGTTGTTTAATGTTATTTTAAACACAAAACTCCACCCATGCGATCATCTTGGAGGTGGAACATGTTGAACTAGCGACTCTTCCTGTTGTCCTCGTGCACTTTGCTCTCAACTCTCTAAGTCTCCGTGTTGCCATCAATGTCCCCACATTTAGCAGGACGTTTTCAAACCACGGTTGTAGATCATTCTGGTGAATGATTATCTTCGCACTCTGTATGCACACTACGAGACACCCTATTCGAGGAAGTGCACATGCATAGTGCGGTTCGGGGGTTCCTCCTCTCTGGGGAACCATCACCTTATCGTGGTGGAGAGGTTTGTGTGTCCCTATGAGCCTGAGGGCTGTGCACAAGGCTCCTGGTAGGGTTACCCTTGGCCAAGCGGTCTCAGGTGAGGGGCCAGACTAAGAATGGTTCAAGAGACCCTATGAAAAAACGGGAAGGGAAAGAGGGAAGGAGTTACCCGGGCCCAGAGAAGCCCGGGGCCCCCATTTGGAGCCAGGCCCAGATAGAGGGCCCGACAGTGAGCGTTTGGTGGCCTGGCTTGCTGCGGAGCCCGGCCGGGCGCAGCCCGAAGGAGTGACGCGGCACCCCAAGACTCTACTCCCAATTCGCTCACCACCTGTGGGGGAAACCGATGGGGTCGGGTGCCGCTGCTACAAGGGTGGCAGTGACAGTGGGGGGTCTAGACGGAACAGACCTGGGCGGCAGAGGCTGGCTCTGGGGACGTGGAACGTAACCTCTCTGGGGGGGAGGAGCCGGAGCTTGTGCGGGAGGTGGAGCGTTATCAGTTGGATCTGGTGGGGCTTACCTCTACGCACAGCCTCGGCTCTGGAACCACACTCCTGGATAGGGGGTGGACTCTATTCTACTCCGGAGTGGTCCATGGTGTGAGGCGCCAGATGGATGTGGGGATACTCATAAGTCCCCGGCTGAGTGCTGCTACATTGGAGTTTACCCCGGTGGACAAAAGGGTCGCCTCCCTACGCCTTCGGGTGGTGGGGGGGAAACTCTGACTGTTGTCTGTGTATATGCACCAAACAGCAGCTCAGAGTATTCTGCCTTTTTGGAGACCCTGAATGGAGCCCTGCATGGGGCTCCAGTAGGGGACTCTAGTCCTACTGGGAGACTTCAATGCGCATGTGGGCGACGATGGAGACAACTGGAGAGGCGTGATTGGGAGGAATGGCCTCCCTGATCTGAACCCGAGTGGGTGTTTGTTACTGGACTTCTGTGCCAGTCACGGATTGTCCATAACAAACACCATGTTCGAACATAAGGATGCTCATAAGTGTACGTGGTATCAGAGCACCCTAGGCCAAAGATCAATGATCGATTTTGTAATCGCATCGTCTGATCTGAGGCCGCATGTTCTGAACACTCGGGTAAAGAGAGGGGCAGAGCTGTCAACTGATCACCATCTGGTTGTGAGCTGGGTCAGAGGATGGGGGAAGACTCGGGACAGACCCGGTAAACCCAAGCGTGTAGTGAGGGTGAACTGGGAACGTCTGGAGGAGGCCCCGGTCCAAAGGATTTTCAACTCACACCTCCGGCGGAGCTTCTCTCACATTCCTGTGGAGGTAGGGGACATTGAACCAGAGTGGTTCAAATGTTCAAAACCTCCATCGCTGAAGCTGTGGCAGTGAGTTGTGGCCTCAAGGTCTTAGGTGCATCAAGGGGCGGTAACCCTCGAACCCCGTGGTGGACACCAGTGGTCACGGAAGCCGACCAACGACTGAAGAAGGAGGCCTTCCGGGTTATGATATCCGGTGGGACTCCGGAGGCAGTTTACCGACAGGCTAGAAGGGCAGCAGCCTCTGCCGTGATGGAGGCAAAGCAGCGAGTATGGGAGGAGTTCGGGGTAACTATGGAAAAGGACTTTCTGTCGGCACCAAAGTGCTTCTGGAAGACCATCCAGCACCTCAGGAGGGGGAAACGGGGAACCATCCAAGCTGTGTACAGTAAGGATGGGACCCTGTTGACCGCGACTGAGGAGGTTATCAGGCGGTGGAAGGAACACTTTGAGGAACTCCTGAATCCAACTACTACGCCCTCTTTGGTAGAGGCGGAGCTGGAGGCCGAGGAGGGATCATCGTCAATTGGCCTGGCGGAGGTCACTGAGGTAGTCAAACAACTGTGTAGTGGCAAAGCCCCGGGGATTGATGAGATCCGTCCAGAGATGCTGAAAGCAATGGGTGTTGGGGCGCTGTCATGGATGACACGCCTCTTCAACATTGCGTGGAAGTCTGGGACGGTGCCAAAAGAGTGGCAGACCGGGGTGGTGGTGCCCCATCTCCATCTTCAACTACCGTCTCGCTTTCTCTAGCTAACTGACCGCAGCACGCGACTGCTTCAGGGGTCAGGGGTCACCGCATAAAAAATACTTTATTGCGTTAATCTTGGCCACTATAATCTCATAGATACGTTACACGTTAACTTTGACAGTCCTAAATACACAAAAGGAACAAGGAGGAGAATTAGGAGAAGAAAACAACGTTCAGGAGGAGACACTCACTTGAAGCCCTCCCTCAGCGTGACCTCTGACCCCCTAGTTCCAAACACCAGGTACTGCTTGTTGTTGTGGATGTCTACAGAGCTGCAGGTGGCCTTCTTCACCAGCTCCACCTCCGTCCCTGCACTCACCGCTTGTAACGCTGAAGAACAAAGAGACAGGAACACAAAGCGAAGCGACAAAGCGCGTCCAGTGATGTCACACCTCTTTACAGTCAATCAGAGCAAGGCAGGAGGCGAAACCCTGTCTTTAGACTAGTTCCAGTCTGAAAACATGACAGGATGACTTATGAGTGTTTTCACCTTCCTGAGTTTTCTTCAGGACTTGAACTACACTGGCTGTGTAGGTCATAAAGTCTCCTTCTGCTGCAGAAGACTTCACTGTCACTTTGAAAGCTGCAGGGAGGGAAACAGGACAAAATCACAAAGGGCATCAGCCAATGACCAAGAGGGTTTTGATCAATTACCATGATGGAATCAATCAATAACTAAGATGGTATTGATCAATTACTAATGCCTGCTTACCTTTAAGCACGCTTAAGGTAACCTTTGAGAATGGCCAATTTAAATGGACGTATGATATTTTGTGGATAGAAATGTGGACGTGGGGCCTTGAGTTTAAAGCATCGGTCCTCACACCGATGTCGTCATGACGACTACGTCTGCTTCCTGTACCTCGTGTCTCTTTACCATATGTGATGTGCGGCCTGCAGGTCTCGTAAGTGCGTTGGTCTGCTGTCAGGCTCTCATTCACGTTGCTCCTGAAGGAGGCACACGCAGCTACAACAACAACAACAACAACAACAACGTGTTTATAGACAGAAACAAGCTACACATCATAACACACAGTCAGCCTGTGATGTCAGCCAATCACGAGTGAGGAGCTACCTGCCATGCACTGGCACTGCTCGTCCACACAGAGGCGCTGCAGCCTCTGCTGCTGGTAGGAGAAGGTTTTGGTGCATTCACTGCCTGTGGGACAAAAGAAAAGTCTTTAAAGTCACAATTAAAGGAACAACACAATACTTTAAAAAGATCCTCTACAGCAGCGGTTCTCGACTGGTCTGGTCTCACCCCTTAATGACAAGCCTGGACCCAAACCGAGGAACATTCTCAACTTATCAAATGTATTTAATGAAAATATGGTGCAGTTTGAACCTGAGGGAGTGTGGAGACAGAATACGTATTCCAACACAAAAACAAGTTTAATGAAAAAACACAACAGCCAGCTGTTAATTCTAACTTTTATTTTGAGAGTCACTGCTCTACAGAGTTTAAGATGTTTACTCGTAGCTGTGGATAAAAGCGTCAGCTAAATGACATGTAACGTCATGAATATCGGACAGACGTAGTTGCTGTTCGTTATGCAGAGCCAGGCTAACAGGGTCTTTGTGCTAAGCTAGGCTAAACACGCCGTAGGTTGTTACTTAAGTCACATTTTGTCTCAGAACCTTGATTCAGTTAACTCATATTTTGCATATTGTTTTACATTAGTTGAATTAGTCTGTCTCTGAAGACTATCGAACTACAAACAGACTGATATGAACTACAAATCCCAGGATTTCACCTCTGATCTCACCTTTGACTTGAGGCTCATAGACGCTGAACACAGAATCGCTGGCCCCTCCCACCCGGAAGCCCGTCCTGATCCGAAAACCAACACACAGGAAGACGTCTGACGGAACCTGGCAGCCAGACAGGAAGTGACCGGGAAAAACCCGCAAACATCACACTGATTAAAACGAAAACCGGACTTAGTTCACATTGTTGTATTTCTTGTTGTTGTTTGTTACTGTATTTCCTGTTAAATTTTGCACGCACATCAGAACTGGTGAAAAATGTGATCATTTTGGGGTCTCGCATTTGGGTGTGAAGAAATGTCTCCATAGCGTCCCATGAGATTTAAAAAAGAACCCCACCAGGCCAGTTTCCCCCCCGGTGTCCCATCGACTTGACATTTGGCACACATGTGCTCCTGGACACACTCGACAAAAAGTCAAATCATGATACGCAAATGAACCTAACTAGATTTTCCCCCATTTAGAATTTTTAGGAAAACCTGTTTTTGCGCATTGCCCCAAAACGCTGTGGATCATTATTGGTTTAACGTCCCTCTGCATTATGAAAATCATGTTGATATCCCATTGTTTTAGGAAGTTATGGGCTAATGAACTATGCATCTGCTTCATCTGGAAAAACACATAAGTTCCAAATGTCTTGGCCCGCCCTCGTCAACATGTGAACACATGTGAGCATTGGACCCTCGAACGCAGCCCGATTTTCTGAGAATATTTGAAGAATAGGAGGCGCTGCAGTTAATCCTTGGAAATCTATTTTTGGCGTGTTGTAAAGACCAAACTGCTCCCAGGGATTAAACCCTTTTCAAAGTGGCCAGTGTGATCTTTGGACCTTGGACTTTAAAAATTCCATTTTTCCGGAAGAAATATTAAACTGTGTGCACGCAGAGCATTTTCCAAAAATATTTAAGTTGTTTTAACTCGACCATACTTTATTTAATCTGCTCCATATTTCTCATATAGCATCCCGTAGACACACCTATGATCCTTTTTAACCGTACTCATAGCGCCACCTGGGGGCAAGAGGAAGTTCACCCTGCTCCTCACAGGTTCATCTGATCCCTCTCAAACGTTGTTAGAAAAGAGTTTGATAAGACCTTGATAATGCTTAACTGTCAATATTGTAAGAATGAACTCTGACCCCGACCCTAAGCCTTGTGGTTTTAGTTGTTGTGTTTGTTGATGTTTGTATTGTTGTTCCTCACAGAGTCCATCTGAATGACCACAGTGTTTCCTTGGAGCTCGTAGTGGGAGATCATCGGCTCCTCTGGGTCTCTGAACTGTTAAAACAATGACTTAGTTACACCTGAAACAGACTCGTTGCCATGGTGAAAGAGGAGAGTGTTTTTCATGTTGCTGATGAGCGTCATGTGATCAGAGCTCACCTGTCTCAGGTCCTCCAGATAACCCTCCACACCTGTAGGCATCTGGATCTTCATCACGGTCAGACTGGACTCCATGATCTCCTCGTTAGGAGGCTTGTACCTGAAACATGTCGCTTAAACCTCATCACACGTCTCCCACAGAACATCAAACATCAGTCCTGATATAAGTAAGTATTTAAGTTAATGAAGAAACACTTAATATCAAGTAAAGCAAAAGAAGTGTAATCATTGAATCAAGTTATCTCACTTTACACAGGCAACCAGGTGAGGAGCTCCGACACCAAGACCTGAGGAGGAGAAGAAGCAGAAGAAAGTCACCGTGGAGGAAGCTGCTCTCGCTGAAGATGCTGAAGATGGAGGAGCTGAATCACTTTGAGACTGAGTTTGTCACTAAAAGTAGCATTTTGTATTGAATCTGTATAAAAACCTTTTGCAATAAACAAATCGCACAAGAATGTTTTGTTGTAATGATGGAACTGGAGACAGAGCGTATTCGTAGCGGGTTGCTATGGGAGACAGGGTGTCATTGTACACCAGCCTCGTGAAGATAAAGTTGAGTATTACCGCTGGAGGTGTCGGGGCCGGAGACCTCGATGGTCAGGTCAAAGTTACAGTTCACAGAAGGCGAGGTGGTCTCATAGTAAACCGTCTTCATCTGAAGACAGAGGGGGGAAGTCAGAGGGCATTCTGGGACATTTATGCATCACTCATTCTCCCTTGGCCCCTTGTACCACACCCCTGTGGTGGGGCGAGGTACTGAAGAGGGTCTCCTTCTCTGTGCTGCTATACTGTATAAACGTGGCCCAGATCACACACAGTTCACATAAACAACAACCCTTTGACCTTTCCACTAAGGCAAGTGCTTTTGTTTCTCTTAATGGGAGATGAGGAAGGTTGGCGTCAACCTTCATCCATGAATGAAACCGAGGTCGGGCTCCCTGGCCTGTCAGGTCTTGTCTCTCTGTCATTCATCATCGTCGGTGTCTCAGTGTCCACAACGCTGGTCACAGCGTTGCTCGTGACCAGCGTTCTTTTTCTCTGCCGTACACTCAGCCAACCGATGGACCGTTTGAATGAGGTCCATCACTTGATACCACGTCTACAGGCAGTCTGGCTTATTAAGAAGTGTGGAGTAAAACCCGTGGACTCGTTCAACGTGCAATTACACGCATGGACAGGATGGCTTGTGTATCTACTCCACTGGCTTTAGTCGGGCGTAGGTGGTTAGTTTAGCGTCCGTAGCCGCTGACTCCGCCTCGTAATCCCCGCAGCCCCCGATCCTCACCGCAGCCTCCCTTAAAGACCCTTCCCCTGTCCTGATTCGCTGCCTCCACCAATCCGTCACGATGTGATCAAATACACGGCAGATGGCAGGAACTTAAACAGAAGGTACAACACACACCTGTAAAATACATTTACAAGTTTACCTTCACATGGGACACGCCCGTCCCATAACCTGTGGACACGGTGATGTCATCGTCCTTCGTCACCTGGGAACAAAGGAAACAAGAAGACAGAAACTGGTTATTAATCACAGGAGAGCAGCACGGAACCAGTCTCACTGCCCTGTACCTGTCTCACTCTCACCTGGATGGGCGTGGCCACAGGTTTGCTCCGGCTCAGGTGGACTTTACCTAGGTCTCCCTTCCTGCTGTAGCGGACTGAGATGTCCTGACGGAGGACGGCTCGGGTGAGGGCTTTGGTGTACTCCGTCACCGCCTCTAGAGTCAGTGCGGTGTCCTGAGAGACAGACAGAGAGACAGAGACAGAGAGACAGGGTAACGGGTCCCATGGTCCTGTGTGTGGTTTGGGTCCACATAAGGAGAGAAATATAGGAATGTGTGTGAGCACCTGCACTGTATAGAAACCTCCTCCGTAGTGCTGATCCTGGGTCAGCCAAGACAGGACGGGGTTGGCGTCGGAGATTCTCCCCTTTACCACCAAACAACACAATCAGTGTACATACACACAAACAGCCATGAAGACACAAAATAAAAAGATTATATTTATTTTATTATATTTAAAATACTAAAAATAGTCAATATTTGTGTTTTTGAAACGTGGAATATAACCAGTAATACTTGTAAATAATAATAATATGCTGAATTGTGTGAATAAGATGCCCTTGTTATGTGAAGTGTGTTTGATGCCTTCTTTCACGTTGGATCGAACTGGAACTGATTTACCAAAATAAATTCCGCTGTGTTTGTTCTTAAACACAGTAAATGGAACAAAATCATGACTGTGATTGAGATGCAGACAAATAAAAAGTCTGAATTGATGTTTATTTCTATTCTTAAAACAACAAGATAACAACTTTTGAAACGTTTGTTTCATGATCAATAAACAATGGGATCAATAACGGCTGTTGGCACCTTGAGCAGCAGCGTCAGCAGGACGTAGGCCGTTGTCTCCACGGTGACGCCGCTCGATTGGTCGGGCTTCAGCCAATCAGACGTCACGCTGGACTCCTGCCCAGTACCTGAGCACAACGGGGCTACCTGGACGCACACACACACACACACACACACACACACACACACACACACACACACACACACACAATAAACAGTATTTAACTACATTTAAAGGGACGGTGCGTTTGATCTGTAGAAACATGGCGGCTCTGTATGTGGTTCTATGAATATGATAACATTAATATGCTATATGAAAAGTATATCTACATATAATATGAAGTATATCTACATATAATATGAAGTATATCTACATATAATATGAAGTATATCTACATACAAAGATAAACTTCTCATTCTCCACTAATGAAAACACTCACGCTGCCATGTCTCTATATACTCTCTACCTGTAGTACTACAGGTAGTACCTCATGTACTTGCTGTATAAACACCTTTGTTCAGGGCCACCTTCTCCAGACCGTCGAGCAGCGCCGAGGCCTCCTGGCTGCTGGCGTCACGCAGCGTCAGAGCGAAGGTCGCCACCGCGCGCACGTACACGCTCTTCACCCCCTGGGCATGCTGGGAAATGTAGTTTGCTGCAGACTTCATGCTCCTATCGTGGAACTAGGGGAGAAGAAGTTTTGTGGAATCAGAGGTGATGTCGGAAGAGGAAAAGGTGGAGGAGGAGGAAGAGGAGGTGGGGGAGGAGGAGGAGGAGGAGGAAGAAGAGGAGGAGGGGGAGGAGGAAGAGGAATAGGAGGAGGAATAGGATGA